TCCGTGGTTTTAATGACTAAATATTTTATAAATATTAACTAATTGGATAAGAACTGCATTAAATAGACGTTTAAAATACTTTTTACCGATTTTGGCTAAGTGTTATAACACATATTTCATGAGTAATGAAAATATTAAATATGTTTATAAAGTTGGATTAATAAATACATAGATGTTTAAAATACTTTTTACCGATTTTGGCTAGGACTCATAACAAAAACTTATTAAAGTTTTGCCAGAATAATTTTCACGTGAACTACCTTATATTTATTAAACGGTATATTAAATATTTTTATTATTTTCACTATATTCCTGAGATCTAAATAATTTTAATATACAATTTCACAATACTCACATTTAAGCTTATCTAGTTTATTATTAATCTGATGGACGAAAAAATTAAAAACATTATTTATTATTGATTTGTCATGAGAATTTCGATATGCTACTAAATCGATTGTATCTGGAGTTGCATGATGTTTGTCAAGACAGTATAGCAGACTATTATCGTAATCTGTTTTAATAAATTCACCATCTTCATTAAAATATTCAATTCCATTTGTTGTAGTTATTATTTCAACCATTTTTCGTTTGGACGCAATGAAAGTTGATTTGAAATCAATTATCGTGGTTGAATTAATTTTGTGAATATCAGGATTTGTATTAAGAAATTCTTCAGTATTTATTAATCCAACTTTATAAACATATTTAATATTTTCATTACTCATGAAATATGTGTTATATTTGTTTCCGACAACAATACTTCTTATATTATATAAGGACTCAATTAATCGAGGCTCACGGACCTTATCCAAAGACCTTTTATGACCCAGGTTAGCTAGTGCATTAAATCCCCAACTATATACTTTATTGTCCTGTGTAATTGCGAATGAACAATTCAAACCAGCGTAAATTGATTTAATAGAACATGCTTCATTAAATTTCAACAAAGTTGGTTCGTGTATTTGTGTTAAGTTAGAGCCAATTCCTAATTCACCACTCTCATTTGAACCCCACGCATATACGAGGCCGGTTGCTGTTAGTACCATAGCGTGTCTCAAACCGCAACAAACTTGATTGATAGTCAAATTGTCAAAAAACGAAATTTTTTGTGGTTTATGCAATCCAAATGTTGTACACGCTAGTGCGAAATTTTGATTATCGCCCCAACCGTATAAATAGTTGTCGTCAGTGATTGCCAGTGCAAAGTTTGAACCTATAATTATTTGTTGAATTTTAAGCCCGGACAGATATTCTACGGTAATAGGCTCCCCAACATATTTGTCTCGCCCTAATCCGAGAAGGGCAACATAATTTTCACCGATGCCGTACATAATATCGTCTTGAGTTAACCATAATAAATTGTCGCCTCTTGCATCGCAAAATGCATGAAATAGTTTAATTTTGCTAAACGTAACTTGATCCATTTTTAAAATTAACTCACATACAATATAAAATAAATAACACAATAATATATAAACCTACGCAGCTATACAAAAACTCTTAACTTTACCTGAATTTTTATTACTTTATGATCTTATACTTTATAGATAATATTAATTTTTATTTATTATATTTATGTTTGTATTAAATAGTCCATAGCAACAAATGCTAAATGAGTGCGAAACGTGTAAATTAGTGTTTTACCAAATTATAACTCACAACAGTAGCTTTTAATTTATCAAAATTAACTTTTAATATTACTATATAATTAAGCTAACACTTTAATTTATCAATTTAAAATTTCACAACCATTTGCACCCGTGGGTCCATAGTAACAACATAATTGGTAAAAATCTTATAATTAGGCTATTTAAAACACGGTAAGATCTTTATTAATGAGATTTATTTCATTATATTGTATAAGTATTTTATAATTTATTAGTTTATAGGATTCATTAAAAGTATAAATTGAAAAATATATCCACATTAATAATAATTATAAATATGATTAACTATTGCAATCCTTACATTTATAACCCATAATTTAAACAGTCAAATTGTTTGATAACATTTTATTGCAGTTGATGTATTAGAAACGAGAAATGTATAAAACAAAATGCAGTACCTTTTCATACATCCTCTCCCGCCCTTCCAATCACTTCAATCCCCTCATTTTGCCCTTCCCTCCAGTTATCTCCTCAAACGGATTTCCAACTAATTTCACTTTACAAAACCAATACAAATATATATCATTTTGATTGTGATAACATAAAATATTATATGTTTACATGGAACACCGATAAATATCTAAAATTTATAACATTACAAATTTATTCTATGAACGTTTAACTGTAAATGTGTTTTATAACGTTGTTTTCTAACATTGGTTAGATAATATTAATAGAAGTATAAACAAGGTTTGCATGTAATATTATTAACCCCATATTTAGAGTTAAACGATTATATGATTGTAATGTCTTCTATATACTGTATATGTCGATGATATTATATATTAAGCGGAAATATAAGAAATTAAATTATTCTGTTTAATTAACGATATAAGAAAATTCTGTTCATGGTGTCATTATTAATATTTCACAATAAATTTTCACCATGCTCACCAAAATATGAATTAAATAGGTACACGTTTAATAATTTTTTAATAAATTGCATGTTAAGTAAATTCACATACAATTCATAACGATTTTTATACATCTAATTATGTTTATTTATTTTAAAAAATAATTCAATGCTTATTAAGCTATAAATTACTGTAGAAATACTGTATCTTAGTGATTTTATCTTTAGTAATATATCGTAGTGGTAATCATTTGTAGTTTATCTGTAGGTTGCAGTTTGTAGTTTAAACTGTTATAAATACATTGTGTACAGTATTTTGTATTTTATTTTTAATTTTTAAAATTATATGAATAGGGAATATGGTTTTGTTCATAATTAGTTAGCTGTAAACAATACCAATAGATTTATAAGTTATAATTGTATTTGGTATCCGTTTATAGAAACCAACTGATTATAATTATTGTTATAAATTATTGCACACATACCTGATGTTTTTTTGTAAATCATTACTATAAAGCAATTTCTTATGTCTACTTAATAAGCATAATGGCAACAAATTCAAATATAAATGAATTGCCACTATTATCAAAATGGAGTACATTTGGCGACCCTCCCGAAATAGGATCAGGTGGAAATGGTCAAGTTTATAAAGTTGATTTAATCAATGGAGTATTTGCTTTCAAGGTCATACCAATAATAGGTAATTATGATTTTTCTTAGTATTTAAGTGAGCAAGTAGACTAGTCATCTCATAGACGTGTCAGTATTCCCAAAATTCAGAATATTCTAATAACATGCACAAATTGCACTGGATTGTGGTCTTAGTTTTATTAATAAAATAGTCAAACAGTTACAATACAAATGAACATGTTATACTCAAGTATATGATGATCTGGTTAGATATTAAGAAACTAATTTTAATTAGTTATATATCAAAAGTTGGTAATTCTATATATAATTATACTCATTATTTCAAATGTTTATTAAATTTAAAAGCAATATTTTTAACAATATTATTGTAGACTACTTTCAACACTAGATTATTTTGATAATAAAATATTACATAATCTACTATTATAAAGCTCAAAAAAATCGAAAGTATCGCGAACAAGATATGTTAAGCAGGATCGCCCACGATAACGTCGTTAAGTATTATGAGCACTGGCGCGAGCAGGGTGATCCAGAAAAAGTTATTATTCAAATGGAGTATTGCGAATGGGGTAACTTGTTTACACTATTAAACCCTAAGAGGCAATTATTTAGAAATTCACCAATATGTCATGTTGAATATTTTATTGCGTGGAATATATTTTCGGAAATTGTACAAGGTGTTCAATATCTACACTCACTTGACCCCCCGATTGTACATAGAGACTTGAAGCCATCGAATATTTTAATACAACCTCACGGTAAATGGTGGATTAAAATTGGTGACTTTGGTCTGGCTAAGTTTCACGAAATATCAATTAACAATACTACCAATGCCGGACCTATCATATATATGGCGCCTGAGATAGGTAAGCATGGTGGAAAATATAATATCAAAGTTGACATCTACAGTATGGGTATTATGGCGTCGCGCAATATATTTCCAATTAATTTAAACAAGTAACATTTATTTAGATATTAGATCACCGTTGTAAAATTGTTTATTTAATAGGCCACACCCTTTTCAACAATTGCAAGATTTAATCAAGCGAATGGTCACCAGGCAGAGTAAAAACAGGCCAACCGCTTCTGACGTATTAAATAACATTAAAAGTCAACCGATTATGTTTAATCGTGACGATATTAATAATGATCACGTTAATTTAAATAAATTAGTAACAAGTTCCGAATTAAAAGCTTATTTTGATCACAAAATTAATTTAGACCTTGATAACTAAATTCTCATATTATGCACTAAAACTACGAATGTTGTTGAAATAACATATTAAACTAAATAAAGCAAATAAATTACAGCAAAAACTATTTTAATTTAATATGCTCACAGAAAAATTGTATTTATTGTATTCCTTATATTGGTATTAGTTTTCATTGAATTAAATATCAAACAATTGTATCGTTTGGAGAGAATTTCGCAACAATTGATGGATTGTGTGGGAAGTGCTCTCCAGAGGAGAAATGGCTTATGTATTGGAGATGTGCTGAAAGACCTCTTATGTGCGGACTATAAGCAGTCACTACTGACCGGAAGTATAACCCAAATATACATCACAAGCGATGACTTCAACGCCGCGTTTGAGTCCATACTGAAGAGGTGTCCAAACGTACAGTCATTGCATTTGAATGAATGCCTACTCGACCGGAACGGTATAAACAGATGAAAATAGTTTATCCTTATATAAATTTTAAAATTCTTCATTATTTATAAATATTTCTGACTTTTATAAGATTATTTAATTTGTCTTATTTTACTAATCAATAGTGTATATACAGTACTCGTGAGTTACTTGTAATAAATGTGTTTATTAAGTCTGTAATGCTAGCAAACAATACAATTATTTGAGAAATTCTTGCAATTCATTTGTAATCAAATTGTGGGCATCCCTTAGACTCTGGGTCTCATTGGCCGAGTAGATCATATCAGCGCCATGGGCTTGACCTGAGATCATCACGGCTTTGGTGCTGTTATTGAGGTCGTGGAGTACACCCAACGCGTGGTACGGATCCAGTGAGCCGTTAGGGAAGACTACGTTTGTCACATTGGGCTGACGGCCTCCGTAGTAGGTGTTAGTGGTGTCCACCGCTTTCTGTATGGTTTGGGGCGTGATTTGCGACCCAAACACGTCGTTACAGATTTGATTGTAAAAGTGGACGGGCACGTTGTGGCCAAATATACAGTCTTTCACATTGGTTGTCCAGAAGTAACCGAATTCAGTGCACATCTGATAAAACCATTGTCTCGCTGTTTGTCAAAATAAATGATTCAAATATAATTCATAAAACTTATTTAACTGTACCCTGGCCTAATAACCTATTTAATAGTTAATTATATTTGACTCAAGTTTATAATTGCTATAATAATATAATACATACCTCCAACCCCTATCTTAATCGTGTGATCCAATGACTTAACCATGTCAGTGAACTTGATATCACTGCAATTATAACCTGGTAAACCGTTCACTTTAGCATATCTTTGCAACGGAGTGCCAACACTCGAGTCATTCATTGTGCGACAAATACCATCGATGCCCGCATTGTGCTGAACGGCAGCGCCTATTGTTACCGACAAAGTGAATGTCAAATAAGCGACGTCTAGGCTGTCGGTGCCGTTAAAGGTATCGCACAGATTCAACATTTGTCGCACTTTTTTCACCCCTTCCGGTGTTGTCAGCAATTCGTCCAATGCTTGCGTGGCTTCCCTTAAAATGCAATCAAAAATTATTTCCAATTGTAGTCCATTTGCATCCCTTTCCCCATAACCCATACCTAATATTCTGTGAGCACTCCGTTCCCAATGAGTCGCTAACGACACCGAAATACTCTTTGAAGTCCACTTCAGCCAACACGGGAGCGCTGGACGCTATGGCACCGACAGCTATGTTGGGGTACTTCTCCACTTCAGCCAACACGGGAGCGCTGGACGCTATGGCACCGACAGCTATGTTGGGGTACTTCTCTCTGAACCAGGCGGCCAATGATCCGGCATAAGAGCCCCCAAACACAACCACTTTGCCTGAAAGTGACAACTTTTTGGTCAAATACTGTAAGATCTCCGCCGTGTCGGCCAACGCCTGTTCACTGGACAGGTATTTAAGGTGTTCAACGGTTGTGTCGTTGAAAGGTTGGGACTCTCCGTAATACCGGTGCTCTAATAATACTAGAAATGCATTGAATTGTTTGGCACTTTGCACTACATAACTGGCGCTACTGGTGATCCACTCGGGACTGGCGTTTGCCTCCCCCTCTATATACACAAATACCGGTCCACCAGATTTGTAGTGGGAATCGTCGGTGTAATAGATCTATTCAATAGTATCATGATAATGTTATTTTATACTCAAGGTCGTTTTAAATGTGGATTAATTTACTAATTATTAGAATATTATGAAAGTATTATACAAGTATTATACAAGTATTATACAAGTATTATACAAGTTCCTATTCATAATAAGTTATAAATAAATTATATTTTATAATTATTAATTTTTAAAAATATTATTTAATTATACACAAAATTAATATAAAATTTGAAAAAGGTGATTTGAAACCTGTTTGAAAGTGCGGTTATCTTTAGCGTCCAAATGGTTGAGTCTCTGGTCATAGTATTGCGGTTTAATTTCCTTAAGTACTTCATCCGGATCAGGAACGGGTGGTCTAACCATACCAAACATGCCGTTGGGTCGACCCCTAACCATAGTCAGCCTATTTGTAAGCTCTCCATTAACGTAGAAATTTAGAAAAGTTACAATAAATATAATATACAGATTCATTTTAAATAATATTTAATTTTATAAATTATACAAAAATTGTATAAAATTAATTTCTGTGGCTTTAATGCTTAAATGCTCTTTATATAGTCATTATAATCATAATTTTTATCAAGATTTACAGTACTTTAGGATCTCATTTAATATTGATAGTATATAGATTAACTCATAATTGTTACTAATATTTATAGTACTTTGGGATCACACTTAATTATTGATACAGTATCATATAGATTAATTTTCAAGTACTGTATTTGTTGCACCTGTTATTTGTAATGACATTATTTTATGAAAGGTAAAGATGGCATTTTTATAATAATACAGTAATAATGCAATAGCTATTGTACAAATCATATGAGAATATAATTATGATTAATGTTACAGAAAGGTAAAACATATATTTTTATTAAGAATAATATTAATTATTTTTTCACAATTAATTACAACATTATATCAATATAAATTTATATATTATATACCAGACTCAACCAAGGAGTCAAACTTGGTGTCATATTTATTAGCTAGATCAAATTGGGTGTAAAATTAAATTTTATTGTTTAGACTCGTATTTGATTTGTGTCTAAATATTTGAATACATTTTTAGGTTACGGGGCGACAGAGGGGGGCGGCGGTGCGATAGAGGGGGGCGGCGGTGCGATACCCAATCACTGGGAAGCCCTGGCATATAATACAACCGGCATTCCCGTAGTGGACTGTCATATGAAGTTAGTCGACTGGCCAGTGAGCGGCTATTTAGCCACAGATAAGCCCAACCCTAGGGGAGAGCTATTGATAGGCGGATATTAAATGTCGAACTGACGGCCGAGTCGTTTACGACAGATAGTCGGGGCGTCCAGTGGTTCCGGACGGGAGATATCGTTGGTGTTGACCGACGGCTCGTTTCGCATCATTCATAGGAACAAAGATTTGGAAAAACTCGTCAAAAAAGTATATCTCATTTGGAAAAGAGGGCCTATTTTTGTTAGCCAGCAACTTGTTGTTTGCATTTAATTGTGGTTTAATTTATGCATTAAGTTATTAATCTTTTTGTTATTGTGTTGTGTGTGTGTGTGTGTGAGAGAGAGAGAGAGAGAGAGAGATTACTAAACACCTCTTCAGTACTCAAAAAAATTGAAAGTCTTTATTAAACTTTTTATGTAATAATTGGTACAAAATATTTTATACAAATGGTTTATTAACATAAAGACGTATAATTTTAGGACAATCAGCGATCAGATTATGAATAGCTATTTGAGTGACCTTTACATCGCATTCATCAAAATAAATATATTGTATTTTCTTGAGTTTAGACAATGAGTTCAATACACTGTCCGTTATATGGGTTCCCTTCATCTTTATGTATTGAATGCGAGGCAAGTGTTGGTCGATATCGCGGGCAAAGTCTTCGCCAGATGTGACACATAGAGTGTCCCATAGAGTGGTCCATAGAGTGAAAGTGAAATGTGTGAGTCGTTGGCATCCACTCAACGATTCACTGCTAAACACAAACTCATCCGGATATTCAGCATTCATTTTGAATCGTTTTAATTGTTTAAAGTGTGTATTCATTGTTTGAATGAATTGAGATATTAGTTCACAGGAATCGATGCTCGCATAGAGTGACAGCCTCTTGAGTTGACCGCAATTCACACCAATTTGTTTGAATTGATTGCAATTTGAGGCACTTTTTACATGTAATGCATTTATCTTCAAATCGCACAATTGTGACATTTGTGACAAACCAGTCATCAGTATATCAATGCTCTCCTCATTACAATCATCTTTGATGTTCACTTCAATTCATTTCATAGTCTTTGCATAGCTTTTGACAAATACTTCAAATCTCTTCACGTCTTCATGAAGTGTATTGAAACCAAATTGAGTTTAATCTGCGAAACAACACATGATTTGTGGAAACAGTGGACATAGAGTTGTAAAAAGTCGCAAGTTGTGTCACATTTGTGCACAATTTAAGACAATTGTTGACACACTCCCAGATTGTCATGTCTTTACGCATATTAATCGATTCAATTGATTGCAAACTTTTGGCAAACTTTGCGAAAAACTTTGTGATTGTGTCGACACTTAAGGCATTAAAAAGGATACAAATGTGCTGTAAATGATTGCAATGTTTGACAATTGACTCAAATATTAAGTTTTCATTGAATGATAGAAACAATAATCCGATTTTTGTCATGTTTTGGCACGAATTGAGTATCCATTCAAAGGACTCGACATCTAGTTTGGGGACATATGTGAAGACTGTTTGTGTCTTATATACCACTCTCTGCCACTGTTTGGACACACATTAACATCGGAACCGGTCTTCGAGAGTGAGATAAGACAAGACTTCTTCACACAAATCGTCGCCAAATCTATCGAAAGAGTCTTTGCCGTAGACTTGCCTTAAAGTTGATTCACTTCTTGGATCCATTCCTCAGCGGTTATAATTGACTGAACGTTTGGTTACAACTGTGCGGTGACTGCTCTGTGAAAGTAAAACGCAATACAAACCAAATGACAGCAAAACATGTGTTTGTATTGAATGTCAACACTCTGTGCGCGCACTCTATGGACCAAAACATGTGTTTGTATTGAATGTCAACACTCTGTGCGCGCACTCTATGGACCAAAACATGTGTTTGTATTGAATGTCAACACTCTGTGCGCGCACTCTATGGACCAAAACATGTGTTTGTATTGAATGTCAACACTCTGTGCGCGCACTCTATGGACCAAAACATGTGTTTGTATTGAATGTCAACACTCTGTNACTGTCAGGATCTGGCTAAGCTGGCAATCGGGATTTTTTGGTTGGATATGAAAGTACTCAAATATAGGCCAAGCTTTCAAGATTATATGGCTAAAGATCCAAGATTTTAAAGATAAGCCTATATTCTTGTGCACCATTCCGCGTGAAGAGTATAGAAACTTAAATAAAACGGCATCCCATCGGCGGCTACCTGTGTCACTATGAGCCGACCCCTGGACGTTATTGCCGTATTGATGACCATGTTATGGGCGTACGTCTTGGATAAGCCTACCGGTGCCCTCAGCGTATTAAAACACGCTAACCATGGGGTCGAGTCGTGCAACTTATTGGCAACATCACGATCATTACAAAGGCTTTACATGTAAGTGATTTAGCTATTTGTTGCCATAGCCAAGACATTCATGAAATTAAGTAAGCATACGAATCATGTAATGAGTGACATTTTAAGAGTTTTATTTTAACTATAACTAACTAGTTGATGGGTTCACAACTATTTAAACTAAATTGTTATTTTAATTTTATGCAAATTTTATACGAATTAGACCGAAGCCCAGGAATTAGGCGAAGGGGATGTGAATCCAGGTGATGGTGGCGACAATGGTTTGATCCCTAACGACCCTATAATAGGTTCGGTTAGTTATGGATGTGGTTATTGATAGACAACAGGACTGGTATCTCATCGGTGGCCACGAGAGCGATAGCCACACTTGTATTGACTTTAATGCACGTCTGGTGTCCAGCGATAAGACCAGAGATCTGGACGTTATTGACATAACAATGATAGCCATACTGGCCTATGCCGCGGACAAACCTACCGGCCCCCAAAGGTGTACAAAACCACACTTACACCATATACTATACGTATAGTGGTGTTGGGCAGTAATACAACCTGTTCAAGGTCTATTAGAAAAGGGGTCTGAAAATAGCAATTAAGTCCAGTTTATAAACCATGAGATGGGTATACGTGCCGTACATAATGATGAGGGTCATTGTACAATAAATATTGATGCCCTGGTCAATATTCATGGCACGCTTATTTGTGTTAATAACGATGACATATATGTGTCATTTTCAAACATTATCACAAACTCCTTATTATGTAATCAAGTTAATTTGTGTTTCAATAATTTATATAAATGTTATAATGTTCAAATTCAAATTCAGTTTATTTATACTCTAGAGCAGCCAGTTCCACGTATTACAATTTATTACAAATACTAATACTTATAACATTACTAAATGTGATTGCTGCCTACATTTGAAACTTACTGCTCTAGAGTCACGTATTCATCTAATACAGTGAGTTCCAAAAGTTTAAAACACCTTATAATAGCGATGAATGAACTTGATAAATTTGTAAATGTTTTACAGCACTAGTGTTTTTATATCACTAACTTAAACTTATAAACTTAATAATTATTTGTTTTTTGTTTATTACTAATACATTAATGTTAAACAAAATATTCAATGTTTATGAGTCATATAGGTTTATTATAATGTTTTTTTATACAAAATATGAATCAATGATTAATAACTATTTAAGATATATTAGAACAATCGTATGTTACTATTTATGACTCTACTATAATATTTAATCCCTAAAATAACTAGCGTTGAATAAACTCATTTATTTACCTTAGCTTACCTTAGTCTATACATCACTAGTTGTAATAATTTGTAATACATGGAACTCGCTGATCTAATTAATAGTGATGTTCTTGATACAATCTCTTTATAATTTATAAATACCAGTATATATAATAATAAATCATAATATTATTTAATATTATTATTATTAATAATAAATATAATACATTAAAAATTATTAAAAGAGAAAAATAAATTTGATTTTAAAACAATTAAAAATGTTGGGTCTCTCTAAGCCTGATATCCAATTGACTGCACAATTGCACGCCTTTATACATGTCGTATAAATAGTTATTAATTTGTGTACAAATAGTGTGAAGGATATATTCATTGTAGGAAATATATTTAATATAATATTATTTATATTAATGATAATAAGTGACGGAATTGCATTAAATTATAGATACAATAAATATTAATATAAATATTAATAAAACGAGTTAAATCTTTATATGAATTTTATATGCCGTACATGGACGCAAATAAAAATGATCCGCCTTAATTGTCTTTAAAAATTAAATCATAAATATCGTTATATGTAAAATATTAATATACTTAATTAATATACTGTATTTAGCTCACGTTACATATTGATATGGTATAATTGTGATTAAACTAATAATTGCAATAAATTAATCTTGATAGTGCCACTTAAAAAATTTTGATTTTGAAAACATGTTTATGTGTTTCCATGAAATGTTTACTTTAAATTTCCATAAACTTATAAATTGCCTTTAGTTTGCAATTGGCTAATTATTAACTTGAATATATACATTATACATTATATACATATACTGTAATTACTTGTTTACTAATTTGAAAACCTAATTATTAAGCTATTATTTTAAGTTGCATAAAATGAATTTCTATAAAAATAAAAGTTGCAATAATTTTATATTATGTGCAATATTCATATATTGCTATTCATGTGAATGCAATGCAATTATATCACCACAAAGTATGGACCAAAATTTGTTGGCTCACGACAAGGATTCCCGTGTCATCAGGGCTACCAACTCAACGAGAAATAGTTATAGAAATAAGATACTAATAATTACCAGTATCCTGGTAAGTCATGACAAATTTAGCAAAATATTTACTAATTATTATTCTATGTTAACCGAAAATGCATTAGTTTTAAAACAATTGAAACAAATCATTTGCTTAAAAGTAATTTGCATAAAACAAATACAATCATATAATCCAAAAATGATATCAAATTAAATACAATACCGTGCGATAGAGCGAACCGTATTTGATGGAGAAGTCGTGGGCACCGGGAGGTATACCGACTGGGAATGACCGGTACGAGGGTTATTGCAAGGACTTGACCGACAGGTTGGCCGATCTACTCGGCTTCCAGTACGAGCTACGGCTTGTGAATGACTCCAAATACGGTCAAATGGATAAGTATGGCGTGTGGGACGGTATGATTGGTGAACTCGTCAGACGTGTAGGTGCCCCCATATCACCTAGTTACTTTATGTAACCTTAATTATTATTTGAATAGGAAGTGGACATTGCGATCGCACCGTTGACTATAACCTTACGTCGTAAGGGGGCCGCCGATTTTGGCCATCCATTTATGTCTGTAGGCATATCTATACTCATGAAAAAGCCGGCGCTTATTAGTAGACCCGGAATATTCTCATTCATGTATCCATTGAGTCGCGAGACTTGGGTTTACATACTGTTGTCATATATCGGTGTTTGGGTAACACTGGCACTGGTTTCCCGATTATCTCGTATCCGACATCGAAAAAGAGACACGAATTGTGAACAATATCATAATAATTGTGACAGGTATTTATAATTATTGTTAAGTATATAATTTTTCTGGGTAATGTAATTTAATATAATAATAAATTTACAGCTCTATGTCATCCAGTATTGTATGGACTGTTTGTGGGTTCTTCACGTTAATTGTAATGTAAAAGTTTTCTATGAAAACATTTTTAAAACATATTTACAGCATAATTAATGAAATTCATATTAATTACAGGTATTAGCCGTATACACAGCAAGCTTGGTCATTTTTCTACTGTGTAGACCTACGCTTATACCAATCAATTCAGTGGATGCTCTTAGCAAACAGACTGATGTGGAATACGGGTTAATATTTTATTACTGAATATATTCATAATATTTATTGTTATATAACAAATATTTAATATTGAAAATTATTTTACCTAGATTACTATCTGGCTCATCCACGCAAGCTTTTTTTCAGGTATTTGTTAAGCACAGGGCTTAACATTTCCTATTCATATAATATTTTCAATGGCTAAATGAATATGTTTAATATGATAAATTTTTATTTTTAATCAATTTCAACGGTATTTCCAGTATTTAATGTCTAATGTGGCTAGATGATAGATTAAAATATAAGTTACAATATTTTCATATGATATTGTTTATTATTTTTAATCATGATTAGGGCTCAAGTATACCAACATATAAGAAAATGTGGGAATACATGAGAACTAACCCACAGGTGTTTGTCAATGACTACCGGGAGGGTATCCGACGGGTCAGGGAGTCAAATGGCAAATATGCCTTTTTAATGGGTTGGAGTATAATTTTTAATTCTCAAATTATAATCTATTATATAAACATAATACATGTATTATCCTGGTCTAACCAGAGTCCACATCACTTGACTACATTAACCACCGTTTGCCGTGCGATACCATGAAAGTGGGCCCCAATTTGGGTCAGTATTATATCCGTGTATTTAAAAAATTTTAAACACATTTTAATTGTAACTATATTTAGACGAGAAAGGCTACGGTATCGCCACTCCAAAGGGAAGTCCGTATGGGTATGTAGTGGCATAATTGTTGTACCAGGGTAGATTTTACAAATTATATTTGAAATTACACTTTACTACCAGTGCTATACTGGAAGACGCTATCATTAAACTACAGGAGGACGGAGTGTTGGCTCATTTACGGCACAAGTGGTGGTCAGACAGAAGTGAATGCGGCCTCAAAATGATCATGGTAAGCTCAATAATTAAATCTGTCTGAGATTTACAAGCAAATTCGTTTGCGGTTACTTTTAGGATACAGTTAACAATGAATTGTCTGTATGGGAGTTATCAGGGTGCTTTTATGCACTCATTGGTGGATTATTGTTGGCTTTATTTGTGGCCGTAATTGAGTTTTTTGTCGTAAGCTATAAACAAGCTATAAGTTTAAAGGTAATTAATGAATGATCTGTGCAACTCTAACAATCCTTTAAATTAATATATTTTATATTGACACTAAACTCTCTCTCTCTCTCTCTCTCTCTCTCTCTCTCTCTCTCAGACCGGTATATACGGTGTATTGAAATCCAATATTCGTGTTGTGATCACCGGATCGACGGATAATTGTGTTGAGAGTTAGCCAATAGACAAATTTGAATACAAACCAAATACTAATCATTTTACATAATATGTTTTTGTGTAATTGACAAACACATATATTTCAAAAATATTATTTTAACAAATGAAAGTTTTTTTTGGTAAGAATGTCGATGATTGTATTTGACCTGTATATTTAAATCCTAACTAAAAATTAGTAATAAAATACAAAATATAAAGTAAAATACAATGTTATAAAAAAATATGAATTGTATGAATAATATCAATGCGTTTACTCGTCATACTATAAAACCGATAATAAACTAGAAAATATTGTTTTTCAATTAAACATAATTCAGAATTTATTTATTTTTAATAAAATGTCTGTTATTTTAAACGAAGACATATTGGCATTGATTTTGAATGAACTGAATGTCAAACAGTTGTGTCGATTGGAGAGAGTTTCGCAACAATTGATGGATTGTGTGGGAAGTGCTCTCCAGAGGAGGAATGCACTCACCATTGGATCCATAGATCCAAACATTGTCTGCAAAGACTACAAACACTCACTAATCAATGGAGTTATCACTCAATCGGATACCAATTGCGAGTCTATAGTAAAGAGATGTTTGAACATAGAGTCCCTGTATTTGAATGAATGTCTTCACGACTGCAATGGTTTGCAAACAATTGTCACGAATTGTCCGAAACTCAAGTGTCTCACGATTGCCGACACAAACCCCATAGCCTTATATACTCGCGAGGAATGGCTACAAATGGCTCAACAGTTGGCAACTATAGGGTTAACACACCTAACGATCGGAAATTTAGAGGTAATTCCTATTGATTCACTCAATGATTACAAACTCATTAATTGGTCACTATATTTGGTGTCAAAATGTTTTCAATCGCTTCAAAAGCTAACACTTTATAAGTTTAACAAATCATTGACTGCTTTATTCAAACGTTTGCCACAAAATATCACATCAATTGAAATGCATGATTGCAAAGGACTCGGCATTCAAGCATTTAATACTTTAATAGCGTTTAACATGGATCACTTGCAAAATATTTATATTGAGTCCCGCAAACAGTCCACAGATATTTGCGATTACATATTAATCGCAATCTGTGATCAAATAAGTCTAAAGAAGTTTACATTTATTAGCGATTCTGTGTCCATGAATGCCATCAATACTGTTGTCAACCAGAATTCAATGAATAATTTGAATATTTCCATTGATTATGATATTAATTATACGAACACTGATTGGTATTTAATGCAACATTGTTGGTCACTAAAATTGAACCGGCTATGTGCCACTAAAATACAAAACAAATTACACTAAAATTGCCCCCAAAAAATTGTTTCGCTAATTATTGTTAACTAATAATTTAATTTTCAATTCAATATGCATTCAGTATTAATAAAACATGAGTTTATTTTTGTTTCTATTATATATAAATACATAATTATTTTCGCACATTTATCGTTTGTAAATACAGTGTTTGTATTAATGAAGTAAATTCGCATTTCATACGCGATATAAGATTTAAAACACTTATAATTGATTAAAAACTGTAACTAATGAACACATTTTGGTAATGTTTTAACACGATATTCTTGACCACAATTCATATAATACTAAATAACTATCAAATTATGTATTTATAAGTACAATACTGTGTAACAAACGTTTAAATAAACCTCATTATATAAACACCTATTTGGTACCCAAAAATTCATTAATATATTTATATATAAAATTGTATTAATATAAATAATAAGCGATAAAATATACGCCATACATATCATATAACAATATAATAATCCTAACTAAAGTATTACAGTAAATATAACTTATAATTATAGCTAAACTTGTATAAAAAACTACAAATACTAACCTAAAAAATAGCCAGTAAATAATGTTGAATATAATATCGATATATAAATATAATTAATTTAAATAAGCACTTCAACTATACATTTACGTAATGTTATAAATTAATTCAAATAATCGCATAAATTGTAAGCTAAGCACCGGTCGGCTAAAAACACTAGCGCTAATGACCCGGCAAATTGGGGGGAACTGTATGCCAACTACCATACAGTGTACATACATACAGGCAATCCGATGGCTACGGCATCTGCACGAACGGGTAGTTTATGTGCAAAAACTGGGGATAAAAGTTGGGAATCAATGGATGCCTAGACGTGAGGACACTTTGCCGGCGGATCAGTATTTGCCTGATTTTGCGACACCCCCTCAACGCGGCGATGGCGGCGCCCGTCAGCTGGTGGCGACTGTAGTCAATCTGAATGGACTCGAGTCGCGACAGCCGGGCCAACGACTGTAGGGACTGGTCGGTGACGTTAGCGTTGGCGAGGGATAGCCGGTGCAGTCGAGGCATGTGTTTGTCTATATTGGCGAACAGCGAGTCGCACACACAGGGCGTGACCGTACGCCCGGTGCTGATCGTCAGGTGCGTGAGGCGACGGCCCACCCGTTTTAGGGCGGCGCCCGTAAACACGTAACCGCCCGGAAAGGAGCCTTTGATTGTCAACCGTCGCACACGAAGGCAGAGATGGTTAACGGCGGACACGATGTCCGACATCACGTGCTCGTCGGTCACGCACAGCGCCAGGTGTAGGCGCCGCACGTGCCGACAGTGGGCGCCGATGTGGCGCAACAGCGGCGCCAGTAGTTTGGTCTTCGCGTCGTCGGTGGGCTTGTAGTCGATGCGTATGTCGATGAGCGCCGGCATCCGGGCGAACGCGGCGGCCAACGCGCGCACCGACACGTCGTCGTCGCACCGCTGGACCACGAGGTGTACGGCCCGCAGGTGGCGGCCGTAGTGGGCGGCCAACAGGTCCACCCGTTTGACGGCCTCGCGATTGGCGCTGTCGTACGGGAACTGTAGGCGCCGTATGTTTTCCAACAGGCACTCACTCTTGTGGCCAAATATGTGCGAAAGCGTCTGATTCTCCTGATTCGAGTCGAGCCGAAACTCCCGGAGCTCTCGACAGGACCTCACGTGCCGTACGATCGCCTTCTGACACAAATACCGGCCCCGCGTTTCGCACGTAATGGCCGTCAACTGGTCGGCAAACTTGGCGAAGAACTCCTCGATTGTCTTGACAGTGATGTCCGCGTGTAGTGTCCACTGAAAGCTCTGCAACCGATCGCAGTATCTGATGAGCGCCTCAAACATGCGGTTATTGCCGGCGAACTCCACGTGCGTAACGCACCGACACTTGCGGAGCACCGACTCGTACGCCAGGAGCGGTCGATCAGCAGCGGTGGCGCCGGCAGTGGTCGGGTCGTCATCGGCGGCGGCGGTATTGGCGCTGTTGTCGTGCAGTTTGCGGAACCATTTGAACGCCTGGAGGGCGTCCGGTGTGAGCCGGCGCTGCGTGGCGTATATCAACCGCTGGAACTGTTTGGACACACACTCGCCCCGGAAGCGGTCCTCGAGCGACAGGTGCGACAGTATGTGTTGGCAGAGGTCGTCGCCGAACCGGTCGAACGAGTCCTTGCGATACAATCGGGACATTGTCTGCGGGTTTTGTGGCCACCGATGGGATACTCTTGGGTGTCAACTACGGGTTGAGCCAAATGTTGTCCGACTTATCATTGAGTGTATGGTTGGCGCGATTGCGACGGCGATTGGCCCTATGCTTGAGGGCTATTCACACGCAATACTATAGCCATACAGTCGCTACCTATTAGTGATTGTTATAATCGTATTGCCATTAAATTAATGATACATTTGTGGTGCAAAACGTGATTCACTTACTGTTCATACAATTAGCTATGAGTTGTGCTGGATATAAAACTCGTAAATACCGTAGTTTACTCGTAATAATAGGAACTAGCTAGTTTAAATTACAAAACAAATTATTGTCATAAGTGTGTGTAAATTGTGTGACCAACAGTTTTGTACGCTTGGTTAATTAATAATAAAGTGAACTAGCATAAGTTCATTTACATATCAGGCACAAAACATAATGATTAATACATTTGACTCGAAATGATTGTAACATTAATTAATGAGCAAAACAAACAAATAATTGATTACTTGATACAATTATTTATCATGAGTTGATCAGACACATTTTAGTACTAGTACCATGCTTATGGTATAAAATAGCAATAATTTATGGCTAATTGTGTGGCAAATGGTGTGTAAATGGCATACAAAATGATATTTAATGAGTGAAAACAAAGCAATATTTCATTTACTGATTGTTGTGTTTATTAATGAAAAACATCTGATAAGAGAGATAAACAGTAAACACAAACCGATGGACACGTAAAACGTGTTAACTGTGCGTACGTTTGTATGCATTATAAGTGGTTTTTCACTCGCAGTCGCTCTCAGTGTATGCGTCGACTCGACGCCAAAACCAGTTGTCAAACATTTGGCAAACTTTTTGAAAACAATATTTTGCGCTTATATTGCCATATATTGCCAATAGGCTCGCGGTTGCTGTACTTTGAACGTCAATATTGATTCACTATTTGAATTAATGATTTTATAGTAAGAAATACCGTAGTACTCATGTTAGTGAGTGAGTGAGTGAGAGAGAGAGAGAGAGAGAGAGAGAGAGAGAGAGAGAGAGAGAGATTACTAATCTCAGATTAGTAATACAGTAGTTATAAAAATATTCATAAAAATATACTATTTGTAGGAATATTCTTGTTTTTTAGAATTACTAATTAATTAGCAATAAAATATAACACTAATATATGCATAAATTCTTATATTTATTTTTAACAAACAAAATATTTGCAGAGTAATCCATAATCAGAATAAGGTCCTGGCTTAATTGCGGAGTTACTAATCGACAGACTCATCAAGGCAACCACTAACCGATGACAATAGTCTTAATTTTAGGACACAGTTTCAATCTATTGAGCCAAACGTCTGTATAATTAACATTTTGGGCCTTAATTTGAATTGTCTGTAGTTTTCGGAGTGCGGCCAACGATTGCAATGAGACATCACTTATGGTATCCAACGATGTCTTCAAACATTGAAGTCGTGGGAAATGTTGTGATATATTCACTAAAAACAACTCATTTATAAAATCGTCGCATGAAATCAGTTTTAAATGCGTTATACGTTTGCATTGGTTTAGTGAACCACTAGTTAACGGCAACTCTGAGGCAAAATTTGCTTCAATTTCTAAACGCGTTATGCGTTTAAAACAACTATTAATTACTCGCATTAAGTGATTGCGTTGAATGTCATTGTTATCCATGTTTTTGATACACAGCCTCTTGAGTTGCCTACACTTGAGGCCTACTTGCGATAACCCGTTGATACAGGGCTCCAGCATTTGGTCGGGGATGTAGTCCATGTCCACTATCAGCTCAATCAATGCCCCCATTTGTGACAACCCGGTGGTCAGTATAGCGATAGACATCTCATCACAATTGCTTCCAACTCTCACGCGAACCGTTTGCACAGTATTTCTATAGCTTTCAACCAATAGTTTGAAATCACTTTCATTTTCCTTATAGTAATTCAATCGCAAAGTTTGCAACTTTTGAAACAACACGTCATTCCTATCGCCGGTCAACAGGTGCGACACTTTGCTGTCGTAGTACGGGTGCCGTACGACCTGTAGGTGCTTGCACAGTTTTATATTCCTATTCATAGTGGTGGTGTTATTATTGACAAAATCGTACTCATAGTCCTCGTCGCTGATGGACAACGATTTCAATTGTTTGGCAAACTTTGCGAAAAATCTGTCTATAGTTTTGTCCCGCAATTGGGTGTAAAAGTCGATACGAATGGCACTCAAGCGCTGACAGTGTCTTATAATTGAGTCCAACATCGAGTTGTTTAACGCGAATAACGTGTAAATGAACTCAATTTTGGCGATATTTGTGCACTTTTTCAGTATTAACTCGAATGCCTTCCACGAAAGTTTGCCTGATGCAAATGTCTCGTCAAATGTGACCACCGTTTGCGTCAAATATATCACTTTATGGCACTGTTTGGACAGACACTCGCATCGGAACCGGTCCTCAAGTGACAGGTAAGTCAATAAGTGTTGACACAAATCATCGCCGAAGCGGTCGAATGAGTCCCTTCTGGCCATCGATTGTCTCATAACTGAATCGCTTCTTAACATAACTTTATTTGACATTATTTTTGCATTTTATAAACACTTATAAAACTCAGAAAATTAAATAATAACGAGGCAAATGTGAACTTTACTAGTCGTTACATAAGTTTTTGAATTTTAATTTAAAATTCACCCAGTACATTTAGGACCAAAATTATAACTAACTATAAAAATATATTACAATTTATAAAATACATAACATACACATTGTCAACAAAATTTAGGTCACAATTAATAAATGTTGATTTAAACAAACAAATTGAAAAACAACTAATTAATTTAACTTGCAATAAGTTGCACATTGCATTAACAAAATAGAAATTAATTTACATAGCTTATCTTAATCAGATTTATATGATATTTATATTTATTTCGCAAATGGTTATCAAAATTAATATGTTGTTTAATAAAATAAGAGTTAAAATGAATTCCACACAGTATCCTATGAAAAAAATTATTGTCAAGGACGTTTATTGCCAATGCCAAGCAATACCCATAATAAAAGTACAGGTATTGTATATAAAACGCATTATTTGAAACCGGTTTAATTAAAGTTAGTTAAACATAATACTGTACAGCAGTATGTAATACACGCATACTATTGGGAATAACGGTAGTTTATGCTACATTCAAATACTTTACCGATAAAAGTGTTTCATTCTCATTATCAAGTTCTCAAACGTGAACTTGGTAGTTTTATTTTTTCAAAATTGCTAGTAGCTATTAGCTACTACATTTAAATCATTATGCAAAAGTTTGGCAAACAAAAGCCAATAACTTATAAACAAACTCCTCGATAAACATTAGTGTAAATAGCGAGTACATATTGTAGACCAATAGTGGGCACTATTTAATCCACGTAATTAAAGACCTATTATACTATACTCCCAGAGCCTTTGCCCATAGCACAGCACTAGTACCTTGCTCGCTAACTTAGATGAAAATAAGTAATCCTATAGTTCGCAGCCGTCCATCACTGTCACCGACAGCGACGTAAAAGTCTTGAGCGTCTTATAGTAGTCGAC